TAATTTAAATAATTCTTTTGCGTTAACATACCGTGGTGCAACATATTTTAAGATGAATAAATACGAAGAATCACTAGTAGATGTAAATAAATCATTGGAAATTAATTTAAATGATGATTTTGCATTAAAAATCGTGGTGCAATATATTTTAAGATGAACAAATATGAAGAATCGCTGATTTAAATAAATTAGGGAGCTTCCACTTATTACGTAAATATAGCACCCCTCCAGAGTCAGTCATTTGACAATTACAAGTTCTAAAGTAATCAATCGTTTGACAATTGCAAGCTCTAACGTTAAAATAACCAATCGTATAGAGTTTATATTATGATTACTTTAGAACTTGTAATTGTCAAAGTACTAACTCTGGAGGGGGGCTATATTTACATAATAAGTGGAAGTTCCCTTATAGGCATTAAACTGAATAATGCAGACGCATTAAGGGAGCGTGAAACGACTTATCGCATGATGAACGAATACGAAGATCATTAGAAGATTTAAATACATCATTAGAAATTAATGTAAATCACGTATTTACATTAGCAGGTCGTGGAGTAACTTATAGGATGATGAACAGATTCAAAGAATCACTAGCAGGTCTAAATAAATCATTAGAAATGAATCCAATTAATGCAATAAGATTAGCAGAGTGTGGAGTAACTTATCGCAAGATGAACAGAAACGAAGAATCACTAGCTGATTTGAACAAATCATTAGAAATTAACTCAAATAATGCAAATATATTAGCAGAGCGTGGTGCAACTTATTGCAACATTAACAGACATAAAGAATCACTAGCTGATTTAAATAAATCATTAAAAATTACTTCTGGTAACGCATTTGCATTAGCAAGCCGTGGAAATTTTATCGTATGATGGACAGATGAATAATCACTAGCAGATTTAAACAAATCATTAGAAATTAATCCAAATAATGCAGACACATTAAATGAACTTAGAACAACTAATCGAATGATGAACAGATATATAGAATCACTAGCAGATTTAAATAAATCATTTGAAATTAATCCAAATAATGCAGATGCATTAAATGAACGCGGAACAACTTAACGAATGATGAACCGATATGAAGAATCACTAGCAAATTTGAATAAATTATTAGAGATTAATCCAAATTTTACTGAAGGTTTAAATAAATCATTAGACATTAATAATGCATTTGCATTAGAAAATCGTGGAGAGACTTACCTTATAATGGAAACTACAAAGAATCACTAACAGTTTTAAATAAATCATTAAAAAATTAATCCTAATAATGCATCCACATTAGGATCCCGCGGTGTAGCTTTTTACCTGATGAACAAATACAAAGAGTCACCAACGGATTTAAATAAATCATTAGAAATTAATCCGGATAATGCATTTACATTAGCAAACCGTGGAAAAACTTACTGCATGATGAACAGATACGAAGAATCGCTAGCCGATTTAAATAAATCATTAGAAATTAATCCAAATAATGCATTTCATTATCAAACTGTGGAGTGACTTATCACATGATGAATAGATACGAAGATTTAAATCAACAACAACTTATCAAATGCAAAAGAAATAGGAAGAATCAATCAAAATCCAAACAATCGTCAGCAATTGATCTGGATAATGTTCTTGATCAAGAAAGTGCAATACAATATCAGATAAGAACACACACTGTGAGTCACCAGCAGATTTAAGCAAAACATTATAAATCGACCTCGACAATCCTGTAGTTGCATACACCTTCATAATCTTTATTATTATTAAATTATTCATTATTGCATCCTATTATCTCTTTTGTTCAGTATAAATATAAAAAGACTCACTTCGACTTTCTAGTTGTCTTTATCTCAACGTACACCATTGGAGTTAAATTGGCCTTCTATCTATATTACTTTTATAAGCTCTCTCAACAATGGTTATAATTGGTGCCGATTGTGTGAAATTAAACATTCATTTTCCAAAAAATTTATAAAAAAAATCAACTAATACCTCCTCTTCTTTGGAGGAATTGAATTTTCATCTCTCCCAATCATTCATAAAATCAATTATAAAATAAATATAAACCCTTCTAGTAAAACATAATAAATCTTAAGAAAAGTAAATAAGAAACTTACCTTGATCTGGAAAAGAGTAATGGCTCAACAAAATCTTTTCACCTCCAGCAGCAGTCAAATCCTGCTTTTGTTGAGATACAACCTCCAGTATCCACCTCTAAATTGGGAATTGAAAAGTTAATTAAGGTTATTAATAAAATGCTTCTCTAGCTACAGAAGCAAAACTATCTATTTTCAGAAATTATGCTGCCCGTATGTTACAGGTGTGGTTGGTTTGGTCACATCAGTCAGAATTGTCAAATAACAAATCCTCAACCTAATTTTCCTCCAAATCAATTTTACAAAATTAGCTGCTAAACCTACTTCAGGTTCAGACTCCTGCAAACTCTTTTCCTAATCTTCTTTATCTATTTTTATACCTGTGAATCTGGGTCCTAATAATACTTCTGAGAACTGATAATAAAAGACTTTCAAACTCTATTAGCTTTAGCTATCAGTTTAAATCCCCTGGTGGTCAAAGTAATCAGCATACTTATATTAGCTTCTTGCTGAAGACACTTTCTTATTTGCAGCAGAGAAACAGAACCTGCAATAACCTAGTAGTAATATCTACCCTACCAAACATAGAAAAGAGGAATTAGAAGAAGCAAAGTTAGAGGAAGAAACTTAAGAACAATTAATAGAAGAAGAGGCAAAAGAAAAGGTTAATAATCTTAAGACAATTGCAGATCTCTCAGCTGCCTCACCTAAGATCATTATTGTCAGGCCTAAACATGTTGTTCATAAAAGGTTCAAGAAAATGAACTTTCTTAAATAGCATCTTTAGTTTCTTCCTATTTAATTGTCACAGATATTCAGATTAAATCCACTAATATAATTTATGGTCAACTCATTCATATCGCATTGTGTTGCAAGGTGAATTTGGTTAGAGTTTATAGAAAAAGGCTTCTGCTAAAAGAAAAGTAAAATCAAATAGTAGTATTAGTCTGAAAAAAGGTCCACCATCCTTTATTGTGATGCTCAGGTCCTGAATACAACTATTGCCCTAATTATTGATAGTAATTTATCTGGTAGTGTCATTTTATCCTATCTCCTTCAAGATTTAGGTATAAAGTTGAATGTTCTTCTATGGTGAATATGATTAATATCTATAGTAAAAGCAAGAGAGCTTTAAAAGAAATATCTAACTTCTTCTTTAAAATCGGAGGAATAGAATCTTTATTGATATTGTTATTACAAATATAGAATCATATTAAGCCATTATTGATAATGATTGGCTTTCTAAAGCCCAAGCTAGAATTGACTAGGTAGCTTCAGAAATGATCCTTATTTGAAAGGGTAAGAAACTTACTCTTTTTATAGAATTCAAAAAGATTACTTATGTTCTTCTTGGTAAAAACTACCCTATTACGGTTTATAATGTAATGAAGAATTCAAAGAAGAAAGGTCAAAAATAAAGAAGCAGATAGTGATGAGGAATATGAAGAAGAAGAATTAGAGAATTGAATTTATGGATATTCAGAAATAGATGAAAATGAAACCCTAATTACTTACCTTTACCTAGCTCTCTAATACTCTAATTCTAGATTCCTCCATTAATATACATTATTCTCTTCTTAATTTGCTCTTCTACCTCTATCCTCTAATAATAAGAGCATAAAGAATTTATGCTAGATATTTTTGACTTGTCAGTATATTGTTATACAAGTGACTTTCTTAAAAATAAAAAATAAGTTTTTTATAATAATGATATTACAATATTATCCCTATTCTATTGTTACTGATAATGCTTCAAATATAGATAAAATATGATAGCTAATAAATATAAGTTTATTTTTAAAATAAATATATTTATTATAATATAAATATTATACTTATCTTAATAATTGTTAATTTAAGAGAAATACTTTAATATTATTTCTATTTGCTGCTATCTATATGTTTTTAATCTAATTGTTAAAGATATTGTTAGTTTTTTTAGTACTGTTAGCATTTGCAAAAAGAATCAAAACTTGTAAATTTTTTTAATTTATTATATATCTGGTGTTAAGAATTGAAAAGTTGGCAACAAAGTCAGAAAATTAAATATTCATTAACTAAATTTTGTAAAACAAGATGGTATTCTCTTACTAAAGTTTGTATAAGCATATCAACCTATAAACAAGGTTTTTTAGCATTGTTTATTATTAAGTGAATCTTCATATATTAAATTTTTAAAATTGAGAATGCTATAGTTAAAAACCTTATTCGTGATAAATATCATTTTGCAACTAATGATATATTAATAAAAGCAATTATACAAGTAGTTGATGACATTAGGAGGTTAGAGTCAAATGATTCTATATTAGCTAACATTTTTAAAAAACTTTTTTATAAGAATATGCACTTTCTGTAATTAACAAGTATATAAAAGAGTTTAATAGTAATATTATTTACTTATTGCATTTTTGCTTTTTTTACTTCATAAATAATTAGCAATATCTAAAAAAATGAATAATGATAAAATTATTTAAGCTTTACTTGAATTAGCTAAAACATGAAATTTTAGTAAAAAAAGATACTAGCTTTTTATTTAAAGAACTAATTAATTATAAAAATAATGACTATCTATTTAATATATCTTCTTCTAGCTCTTTAAAAAATTTATAATTATTTTGAAATTAATTTACAGAAAATGCACCTTGTTACATCATTTTGCAATAAAAATTCTTGCTATTGTTCCTCATTGAGCTGGTTGTGAATGACATTTTTCATCTCTTGGATTAGTTAAATCCAAAGTAAGAAAAAAGTTAATTCCAAAAAAATTTTTTATAATTAGGCAGCTAAGAAATGAGCTCAAGAAACAAATACTTACTAAGGTTAAAAGCAAAACAAAAAAGTTTCTGAACTTTCAACTAATGATGACAAAAGCTTAGATATATTTTTGATAAAGATGAAGAAAATGAACAGTTAGAAGACTTGAATAAAGAGCTTGAAGAAATCATATTTGAACAAGATGAAATATCTACTTTAGAAGAATTCTTTGATTTAGCTATGTATGAAAAAGATCAAGAATCAATTGAAGATTTAGTTTAGAAAAAATTAAACAAAGTGATTTGTTATTAGAAAAGAAGATTAATCTATTGATGATATTCTTATAAGAAATCAATAAATTTTATAAATTAATTATTTTATAATAAATAAATTGCAAATTTTTAATAAAATAAATTAAATATATTCTGTAAAATTTTATAATTACTAAATATATTGTTATATATTATACTACACATATTATCTAATTTTAAATAAATTGTTTGTTATAAAAAAAAATATTAAAGAATATAAAATATAAATTTTAAAGCTATATCTTTAATTCTATTTATAGTAAAATAATCTGAAAAACAAAAAAATAATCTAGAGATTAGTAACAGAATAAATCTTATATCATATAGGTTAAGATAATTTTCTAATTAGAAAATTAATCTATTTATATAAACTAATCAAACTCTAAATTGGTCACATGATTATCTCTGCTTTAGATTTTTTTTAATTTATATATATTATATATATCACATAATTTATATATAGAGGCATGCCCTGGGCATACTATGAAAGACATGCATCAGGCTAAGACATGCCTTTTAGGGCATGCCCAAAAATTTTTCTGTGCCTCCAACCCTAGCATGCATAAATATTATAGATATGTATAGTGTAACAAATTAAAATTTTATTTTTTATTTTTTTTTATATTATTGTAAATAAACCTTTTATTTCTCAGTAAAATATCCATATGTACCTACCTTATTAATAATTCCCCATCCATGTTGGTAACAATGCTCAATTTTGGCAAATTTATTAATTTTTTTTTAAAAAACTTCATCAGTTATACTAAAATAGTAATAATAAATTGGCTTGGTGGCTTAATCATGTGAATGTTACTTAAGGCACGTAAACATGCCAGCGAGCACGTAAACGTAGCTGTTGAAACCTGTTATAATGATACCCTTTATTTTAATAAAAATCTGAAGAAATAGCCGAAATTCTTTGTAAGAACACTACTTTTGTATAATTATGAGAAAATGGCTTAGAAGATGGCACGTAAATGTGCTAGTAGCCACACCAACGTGCTAGTGGGCACGTAAACATGGCAGTTGGTACGTCAATGTGTCCAAGGTTCAAAATGTATTTAAGAACTTTGAGTTCTGGGCGATGAAAGGCAGAATTTGATAGTTCTACCATTATATCTATATAATTAATAAGGAATACTTTTCTATCATTAAATAATTGGTTTGTTCTTGCTCTAATAAACTATTATACTTATCTGAAAACTCCCTTGTGTATTGTCTTCTGAATCCGACTTGAACTTTAATAAACCTATTCAAGACTCAATTCGATGGACTAGATTGACTTGTAAATTCAGCTTAGATTATTAAGACTCAGATTCTGAATTGTTTATCTAGTACACATTAGTAACCTGAGTGAATTGTGGCAGAGAACACCCCTTACGACTGGTTATTTAACTTTGATAATCTATTACATGAACCCAAAGTAGCCCCAGTGTTATTTGATCATCGTCCGCTTTTGTGTCATCCTTAAAAAGATATCATTAAAATCACCGTCACCCTTAAAATTATCACTACATTAATATCACTCCTAATCATCACTATTAACGGCATCACCCATCACTACATCATCTCCTATTGATGTTAAGGCATTCGTCCTGTAATTTTGCATCGTTCTATTAGCCTCTCAACAAGTATAAAAGACCCTCTTTTCGTCTCTAAGTTTATATTTATCTCCCCGTACACCGTTGGAGTTAAATTGGCCTTCTATCCATATTATTTCATCAGCTCTCCCAACAACGGTTACAACAGTTGCCTCCGAAAGTTTGTCACGGTTACACAAAAAATTATGATTAATTATTTAACAAATAATATACGTATACAACTCTCGATATAAGAAACTTTCAATATAAGAAATTCTTGATAGAAGAAAGATTTTACAAATCCTAATTGAGAAATTTTATCTTTCATATAAGAAAGATTTTGGCCGGTGCCCGGTTATTTTTTTTATACCAAGAGTCAGTTGTATTCATTTATATTTTATTACTTTGCGCGCAATATATTATATCGTTGATTTGGATATCGATACTTGACTATGTTTTTGTGTAACCGTGACAAACTTTCGGAGGCAACTGTACATGTGTACGTATATCAATATTAATTCGTTAT